TACAAACAAAAACCATTAGGATTCACATCTCCAAAGCCACAGGAGCTAGCAGGCTAAGCAAGATTGATCTTTTCCATATGTGAATATACGCTACTAAGTACATACATATAAGACATGTTAAGAACATCAAAACAAGTATCAAACTACAAGCAAAAGAAGAACGCAAAGGGAACAGATTTTTCTCGTATATTAATCTTAGTGCATGTCATCTGCAGACCCTAAAACTTGACAGATGATTGCTATCTTCTGATAATTGCTTCCACACAGGCTTACCCATCCTTAAATGTTAGTTAACTGAGACAGCCATCTATGACTCTGGTTCTTTGTTCTTTTAGGTTTTTGTTTTGTTTTGTTTTTTTATAGTAATTTAAAAAATCTTATCCATCTTGAGTAGCATTTTATTGATGAGTCATATCACATTATATGTCTTGTAAGTTTCACAGTTTCCTTACAGTCTCCTTGGGGTATCTCCAGAAAGATCCAGAAATATGGCTCAAGGGGAAGCTTGGGTGACATTTCAGAGTGCTGATGAATTTTAATGTGCATTCCACTACATAATAAAACATCTCATTCTTTTCAGCAAACAAGATTAGCTTTACCCCGATGGTCATCTTTAGGAGAGGCATGATTCAGCGATGAGAACATTAGAACTTAGATAAATTACAAGACAGATTTTTATGGTGTTTTAATTTTTAATTTAAAATCCAAAATTGTTTTGTGAAAGATTTGTTCTAATCTCTAACTAGGAAAATTGCAGAATTTATAGAATTATATCTGCAGACATAAATGGCCCAGTAAAGGTTAAAATCATACCTGTGTTCTATTTCCAGTTTTGCTACCAAGCATTTCCCTGATCTTGGGATTGCCTTGACCTTTTGTTCAAGCCTTCTAACATCTGTTATATTTCTTGAGCTTGTCCCAGAGGAAGAGGAGGTTTGGCAATTATTTGGTGAGTTAGATTGACAACAGAAAAGGTTTCCTAGTCCATTTAGATAAAGTATAATATTGAAAGTACTGTCCATACTGGTCAAGTTATCTAGCTGCTCCCTGTGTGTGTGTGTGTGTGTGTATTTTTTTCTCCATAAAGATACAGCATGTGATTATGGAGGCTGCTTTACCCCAGGTCGAGGGGAATGTTTTAAGGAAAGATAAAACAGTTCATCTCAGAGGACTCACAACCACTTTAGAAAACAGGGAGAGAAGACAATTAGGACAATATATAAATGACTTTAGGTTGAGTATTTCCCAATGCTATTAAAACCCAGGCAGTGACCTTTAGAAGATGCTTTGAGAAGGAAAAATGTTGCTTTATAAACATGACGTCTCATTAAGGGCAGAAAACTATTTTCTGTATATTAGGCTTTCCTCCAACCTCAGTATTCTGCTTAAATAATGAAAAAGGCAGCAACTGGGAGCTGTTTTCATGTTTTGTGCAAGTTTTCTAACTGATAGCTCCGTAGCTAAAGTGAAAACAAGGACGTCAACCAGGCAGGGTGGAACCCTTCACTCCCCCGTGCTCTTGGTTACCTCTGGTGTTCCAGGCACTGTGTGGGGGACACTGGGCACACGGAGTTAACCAGGTTGACCTGACTTAGAATCCGATATGATGAATGCTGTGAAGCAGGATCCATAGAGTGAATAGGGAATGTAATTAGGGGGCTCATCTAGTCAGTGGGAGGCTGTCAGGGGAAGCCGCTGGGAGGAAGTGGTATTTAAGCTGAGACTTGAAGGCTGAGTAGGAGTAAGCCAGGTGAGAGGGAGGCTCACAAAGGAAGAAGAAACAGCACGTACAAAATACCTCAGGCTTGGGCGGCACCTATGGCTCAAGGAGTAGGGCACCAGCCCCATATACCATAGGTGGTGGGTTCAAACCCAGCACCGGCCAAAAATGGAAAAAAAAAAGAAACCAAAATACCTCAGGCAAGTGAGAACCTTCCTTATTCAAGGAAACTGAAAAAAGTTCAGTGTGATTGGAACTTGAAGAGTCTCTTGAGATGAGCTGGACAGGAGGGCAAGCTGATTGAGAGGTCACTTCATTCTCCCCTTACTGCCAGTGAGAAGGCAGGGGCAGTGGTGTGTTCTGGCTGTGGCCACCTCCTGGATTTGAAGTGTCCCAGTCTGAAAGCTTCCTTTCACACCTGTCCACTGAAATCCATCCTTGAACCCACTGTGGCTTATTATTTCTTCAGAAGGTTCAATTTTAGGTTATTGGCTTTTTATACCTCAGGAGTAAAAAAGTATCAGCAGGGCAGCGCCTGTGGCTCAAAGGGGTAGGGCACTGGCCCCATATGCCAGAGGTGGGGGGTTCAAACCCAGCCCCGGCCAAAAACTGCAAAAAAAAAAAAAAAAGTGTTAGCAAACCATTAAGTTTTGCCATGAGCATTAAGTAGGTAGCAGGTGCCAAAAAGATCAGGGGCCTCTGAGAACTGTATGGCCACTTTGCCTCGCCCCTTCATCCTTGCAAAAAGGCTGACCCCACATTAATACATATAACCCTGCACAGCAGACCTGCCCGGGCTCCAAAGACAGCAACTTTTCTTTTTAATTGATTCCCACCAGTGCTCTCTTCCTTCCAGGGCCTGGCCTGATTCTATAGGGAACCGGGGAAGTGGCCCATCTCCTTCCTCAGTGAGATTCTCTCTCTGAGGGTAGCTTTAGGCAAAATCTTTGTACTAGGGTCTCCATCTTCTCTTCTCTCATTTGGCTCACTGGCTAGCTACTTTGATGTTCTAATCATCCTCCCTCCTCAAGAAAACAACCCTATTTATCAATAACAAAAAACACAATGATAAACATAAAAATACAGCTTGAATGAGGTAGCAGAATGATGCATCCTTTTGGGTAAATTTATACTAAAGTGTAAGTGACTGAAACCCGCACACATCTCCAGTTCCCTTTGTGAAAAATACTTTGCTTTTGCACATTTTCATTTTAAAGAAGACATATTAGCCTGAAGTTTTAATTAGCTGTTGAATCAAAATAACTTTCCAGCTGTGTAAAGGAAGTATTTAGATCGCAGGAACATTTTTTCTAAAAATCATTGGCACCATGCTAGTAAGCAGCCACAGACATCACCGAAAGGAATTAGACTCCAGGCTGATTTTCCTGGTTTCGTTAGTGTATCCTTCTTCAAAGTCTATGGACTGCTCGAACATGCAGACAACACCAGCACACTGGGGAGGGAGTCCAGAAGGCAGAAAGCCCCGTACTGCTCATCCCAGCCTCCTCACCCCCGGCCACACCAACACACAGCCCCCACCTCATTTCTCCTCTTCTCAGTCCTGCTCCAAAGCGAAGAGTCTCCCAGCAGAAGCAGCTGCGTCTGAAAAACCCTGGCCAAACCCTGCTGCTTCCTCAGCGGCTCAAAGTGCCGCCCCACCCCTGTTCCCAAACCCGGCCTCCGCAGGGGACACCCAGCGAGGGCCTGCGGCAAGTGACCCCGACCTGAGAGGCGCGGCGCCCATCGCCTGCCCGCCCCGCGGCTCTCACCCATCCCCAGCTCCCCCGGTCGCTCTC